TCAAAAATGAATAAAGAAGGAAGAGTCAGTATTTTCAAATTTTTAAAGAAATTCTGGCAGTGAGTTCTACTGTTTAGGCCCAATAAATATCGAACTGCTCTCTTCTGAAGTATGAAAACACGATCAAATTTTGTTGCGCAGCAAGTACCCCAGAATGGAAGGGCATAACGAAGATGTGACTCAAAAAGGGCATAATAGGCTATTCTAGAGGTTGAGAAGTTAAGTTCCTTAGAAACTGATCTAAGCGCAAAACAGGCAGCGCTTAGTTTCTTTGATAGAGCTTCAATGTGAAAGTCCCATTTTAACGAGTTGTCTACAAGAAGTCCTAAGAATTTCAGAGTCCACGACGAAAATAGTAGTGTTATTAAGTACTAAAGGTTGTATAGTACTTTTATATGACAAAACTTTAGTTTTTGATAGGTTGAGGCATAGGAGATTAGAATCGCACTAAGACTTAATGGTGCGTAAGTCACTGGATATAGTATCATATAGCGCCGCAACATCTGGGCCGCTCCAAGTGAAACTAGTATCGTCCGCAAAGAGGCAGATTTTACCGCTAATGTCTAGATTTGCAATGTCGTTGATAAACACCAGAAACAAAATAGGGCCAAGTACTGAACCCTGAGGGACACCACATTCTATAGGCTTACAAGAAGACATAGACGTATCAATCCTCACAAGCTGCCTTCTGTTGCCAAGATACGACTTAAGCCATTCGAGCGGCACAGTACTTTATATTTAAGGAGAAAAGATAGAAGATTTTTTTTAACCAATCTTTCAATAATCTTAGATAATGTGGGCAGGAGAGCAATTGGGCGATAGTTCGAAGCTTGATCTTTATCTCCTCCTTTATGCAGAGGAATAATTATTGCTGTCTTAAGGCAGTTTGGAAAAACTCCTTTTTGGAATGACTCAATAATTAAAGTAGTAAGATAGATTAATGTGCATTCCGGAAGTTCAGAGAACATTTTGAGAGTAAGCCCATCAGTCCCAGATGAGGATTTGTTTTTAATATTATTAATTGTACTACGGAGCTCATCTAATGCTACGGGCGTGAGGAAGAAACTGTGTAAATTCTCATTTGCCTTAGGGAGATATGAAAGTGAATCATGGGAAGGAGTTATGGTGTTCACTAAATTTTTAGCCACATTAACAAAGTAAGTGTTTAAATCTTCAGGTGGAATTAAAGACTGTGCCAGACGAAGAAGTCTTATTCCTTAAGTCATTTACAATAGCCCAAGTCTCCTTAGCGACATTACCGGCTTTGGCTAGCCTCGCATTATAATAAATTATAATGCGAGAATTATTTATATTTAAATTATATAATTATAATTAAAACAAAAATAACGAGATTTTTGTATACAGGGTCTTCCGAACTGTATTTCGGAAACTTCGGCAGCATATTCTGTAGATAAAAGTAAGTAGAGACACAAAATAAGAGATACTTGGTGTTGAAGTTTAATTTTTATTTTGATTTTTTCCAAATAATTTCTGAAGTATCATCAATATTTGGATGAAAATTGGTGTCTTGGTGGGAGTTTTTTGACATGAGAAATTTGATTTTGATGTCAACATGACTCTTACTTGTAGAGGGCGCCACCTACATATTTTTTAACTTGTTTGAAGACTAATAACTTTTCGTCCGTATCTGTATAAAACTACCGAGTAAAAAACATACATTTACAACTTTTTTTACGTAAAAAAAGTCTCTTTGTAAAAATTGCTACTGAATTATGGTTCTCGAGATATTTGGAATCGAAATTATCAATACCTGTCGTCATTGACATAAATTAAACATGTTGACTAAATAGTTATTAGACTGAAATCATAAATTTCAAATGTTTTGATGCCAAAAGTTCAACAGAAACTGTTTTATCATCATTTTTTCGAAGAAAAATTTAGGATTAATTTAAAAAAATAAAAAGTTCAAAAAATTAAAAAAAAAAGATGAAGTCAAATAACTATCTACACAACACGTTTATTTTTTGTCAATAATGACATGTATTGGCTGTTCTCATTTTGAATTACTTGAGAACACGGTTGCTCGTAGCGATTTTTACCAAGAGACATTTTTTACGCAAAAAACACGGAAATTTATATTTTTTTACTCAATAGTTTTATTCAGGTACGGACAACAAGTTATTACTCTTCAAAACAGTTAAACTACATGTAGGTGAGGCAACCAAATTTCTCATGTCAAAAAACTCCCAGACACCAACTTTCATCCAAATATTTACTACTACTTTATTACTTATTTTTATCTGCAGAATGTGCTGCCGAGGAATGTTTCCGGAATACAGTCCCCCCCCCCCCCCCCCCCCCGGACCACCCTGTATATACTCTTTCCCCCTATAATTTGAAATATGAAGTAATTAAAAAAGTTAAAAGTATCATACACAATCTTTTTAATGGCAATTTGACATTTTTTACAGCAGATCTACCACCTGAATCCTCAGCAGGAAATATAAATTCTAGTTAGTCAGTTCGGCACCGAATATAGATAGTGTCTTTAAAGTTTTGTATACTATTTATTTAAAGATATTCTATATTGCGAGACTTCCAAGACTCTTGCACCAAGACCAAGACCAAGACTAGACCCTGCTTGACAAAAACTTAACTTTTATACGTATTTTAAAAAATTAAGCCACTTTACTCTTGAGCCTATTTTATATATTTGAAGCTACCCTGTATACGAAACAAAATTTATTTGGAATCTAACAAGATCATGAGATTTTTATCAAGAATAAACATTTCTGAAGAACTTAAAATATTTTTTCCACATTACTTTCAAAACTCTTGAACACCCCATATGCTAATTTGAAAGTTAAATAATAATATAGTATGTAGCAATTTTACTAAAATTACTAGAAAGGAAAGAAATATTTAGAATTTTAAAACTTACCCAGTAATAACGCCTCAAATTTACTAAAATAAAATTACCAAAAATTACAACGGCAAAGATCATGCATAATTTAATGAAATTTACATTGTTGTTTTCTGTTTGATTGCAGTTAATTAATATTAGTATGTAACAATTATTAAAAAAATATTAAAAAATATATAAAATAAATAACAAAATGTTAATCATAGTTGCAAAGATTATGCATACTAATGTAAAATTTACAAGTTTTCTATACGATTGCAAGTAATTAGTGTAATGAAGTCCGTATTTTTTTTTTGTTTGATCTGTTAAATGCTAGGCGTGAACATAAATCGAGCACGGCAGGATAGCACGGCGCGAAAGTATTTCGCTGGTACACCGAAGAGCCAGGGTTCGAAGCTGCCTTGGGACATAACTTTTTTATTTTTTTTTCGTTAATATTCTGATTGTAAAATATTTAAATATTTGTTTTTTTGATCACCAGACGGATAGCGTTTGTGGATTTATGAACCATACAGTATATGAGTAGAATTTGATATGTTCATTTGTTTTGAAGGATTATGGCAACAAATAATTCTTAGACAGGCTTAGTATGGTTTATTTTTATTTTTAGAACTGTTATGATAGTTTAAAACCGAAAAATATTTTTAATGCTAAAAATTATTTGCTGATAAAATTGTGTTAAATATTTCGTCGATTTGCATGGATACGTTGAAGTTTTTTTTTGGTACAAACAGCAAATGGTTTTTTGTAGAATCGACGGGTAAAAACCGTTTTTTTTACTGTAAGGAATTTTGATGGGTGGTAGGACGATGGTAACCAAACGTGGTTCGTGGTTCCCGACGGGAAAGATTATTTAAGGGACGGGAGCGCGAAAACTAGGGTCTTCCTGCTGAGACTGAATGTCGGTGACCTTTAGTAAGTAAACCTCGTGAGTTTAAGCCGATTCTGATCCGTTTTTTTTTATCAGCGATGCTGTAAAAAAACGAATTCTTGAATTTAAATAAGTAAAAGTAACGTATATCCGTTTTTGATTTTAAATAAATATAAAAATGGTGGTCTTAGATATTTGATTTTAAATAAGTATCATCCGTATTTCTGATTTCTGAGTATAAATAGTTAAAAACCGAGCACTTAAGTTTCTTTTTTTTATACCTGACCGTGAATAATTAGTGTGACCGAATTCCGGGCTGCTGTATGCGATTCCGCAATCCGACCGATTCGTTTTGATCCGACGCCGATTTTCTTCAGACAACCAGACAGATTCATTTTGTTCCGACGCCAATTTCCTTCAAAAAAAAGGTAATCGCATTCTTTCTTTTTTTACCCCATCAGAGTTCTAATAATCACAAATTTTAGTTTCAGCACAGTAGAGTTACTATTTTATTTTTATGGTATAAAATTTCTTTACAGATAAGGATTTAATTAAAGTTCCTATTTTATTTTACCATAATAATATTTCTTACGTATTTGAATTTAATTAAAGTTTCTATTTTATTGGATATTATAATGATTTTCTTTACAGGTTTGAATTTAAATACTGTGAACTTAATTATTGGCTATTGTAATTAACTGATTTAATTTCTTTTGGTATATAGATATTTGACCTATAACTAGATGATCTGATTTAATTTATTTTTGTTAGATTTTGCGATATTTCATGCTTTAATATTCCTTTTTATTTTTGAATTTGAGTACTTTGAACTTGAAGATATTGGATTCATATTTAATTTATTTAAATAAACCTCGTTATAAAATATATTCGACTTTAACTGACTTTTACCCCATTTCCCTGGATTCTCCACTGTAGAAAAGCCACCCGTACTGGCTGAAGTGGTCTCTCAAACACTATAAATTTTGAGGGTGGCGCCCGAGAGACAAAAGATCGACTGCTCGGCGTTAGTAATAGCTCTCTAGGAAAAAAGGCTGTTACATTAGTAATAATATACTAAATTATAATTAAATTAATAAAAAGAAAATAGAGGTAATTTTATAATTATTTACGCAAAAATATAGTACTTAAAATTCTCTAAAACAAAATGAACAACAAAATGCTAATCACGCCCACAAAGATTATGCATAATATAACGAAATTTACATATTTTCTATTCGATTGCAGAGAACTTAGCGACTTGAAGCTCCCCTGGCTGCCCGACTTTAAAGTAATTAATCTGACAGTTAATCTAGTCAATTTGTGTCTCGATATTCACTTCAAGCTGGGCGATTTAAATGTTAATGGCAATTACGAGGCGAACAATGTGACACTTCAGAAGCAGCTGCCCGTGTCGCACAACGGGGACGTTAGGTAAGTGTTTTATTATTTATAATGCTCACTTTAGCTCAGTTAATCAGTTTTCTTTTGTATTTCTAAGGGATTAATTTAGTAAAATCTAAAAAGAAAGATTAAAGTTATTTTATGAAATTTTTATTCAAGCGGTGAAAATTGCTTAGAATAATTACAATAAAATATTATTTTATACATAATAGTCAACTATGTAATGAGCGGTTTTAAAAATATACTACACACGCATTGAAAACTTTTATTTAGTGAGTAATATATACCGTATGATCGTAAGAAACTAAGTCAAGTTGGCTTGGAAATGACTACCAATGTCATGTATATAATACATAACCGTTATTTACATAATATATAATGACAGCGATCTTCATTTCCACGAAAAACTTTCTCTGACCCCATTTTTTTTCGATCGCATGGTAGTAGTCCATTCCTCAGACAAATAATATAAGAAATCTAGTAAGATTTTGTATAGTATACAAAACTGAGTTATACAAAGATAACCCAATTATAAAATACATCTACCCAAAATATACAAAGCAGATGTAAACAGAAAAGTAATACTTTTTGCTATACTTTTTTTTAAAATTAATATACCATATGATCGAAAAAACCGCGCGCAATGTTGGCTTAGAAATGACGATCGGTGACATACTGATTTTTTTAACAAAGTGTCACAATATCATATTGAGAGATATATTGTTTTACATAATTTGCCGTTTAAAGTCATAGGCTACTGGTTAAATTTACAACAAAAATTAAAATGTAGCCTTTTCCAGGCTAGTACTTTCTACAGTAACATACAGTAGGCTGATATATTGTGTCTAGATGATATACACGTGGTGGCGCACCTCATTTGCCTCGGCTGATTAAACGAAATCGGAAATATGTAGAAACAATTTTTTTTGGGTATATGTGGGGAGGGAATGTGCACAATTTAAAACTATTTTTAAATGTACAGAGTGTGTCAGGACTAAGATCCATACCAAAGTTATATTTTTTCTTATGGAACGTCCTGTTTTTTATTTAATTTTTGGATACTTGGGCATACAATAAGGCATTTATTATAAGGGTTTAATATGTTTAAATGCTTTGGTTTTTGAGATATTTAAAGATATTTAAATACGCATGCTATAATAAAAAAGTTTGAAAACACCCTGTACATTACTTTTCAGAGTTAATTCTTGTACTGACTTTGAAGCGAGAGAAATAAACTTTACTAAAAAATTTTATTGCTTCCTTAAATGTATGCAGGGGTATCAAAAATTGCTGGGCTATTTTAAATATTTATTTTACACAAAAAACTTCGTTATTTTACACTATATTTCAACACTATGTATTTTTTTAAAATAAGCCGAAGCAGATTTAAATGCCCTTTCAAACTATATTAGGGTTTCCTCTACTATCTGGCTCAGACTTTGAATAAAAAGCGATTTTTCAATAAAATGGCAATCAAGATGCCTGGTACCGCCATGGCAATTTGCTAGTAACAGTTAGTAGCTATTTTCAAAATCGACATTCCTTGATGGACTTTATTTAAATTTATAACAGTTTACTTTTATGTAATTTGCCTACAATAGTTTAATAAGTATTTATTATTTTATTAAGAAAAATAAAGAAGCAGTTCTTTGATTTATATTACGATGACTTGTAGATATATTTAATTTTCTATACAAGAATCAATTAAGGCAAATTCATTTTCTTCGCTCCCAGTACAGGTTTCTGCCTAATAGGTTTTTCACTACTATCAGCTCTGTAAAATTGAAAAAGTAGTATTTCAAAAAAACTCTTATCAATAAAATGTCTATTGGGATATCTTTGAGTATAAACCCTTCAGGCTAACAACCAATTGTCCTCACAAAGTAAAATCACTAGTAACATATCCATTCCTTCCACCAGCAGATATATACTACTTCATTTTTCTTGATAAAATAATAAACACTTATTAACCTTATTGTAGGTAAATTAAATAAAAATAACCTGTTATAAATTTAAATAAAGTTCATAAACCAATGTCGATTTTGAAAACAGCTAATAAGTGTCACTAGAAAATTACCATGGCGACACCAGCCATCTTGATTACAATTTTATATAAAAATCGCTTTTTATTCAAAATCTGAGCCAGATAGGTATAGAAAACCCTAATATATTTGAAAGAGCATTTAAATCTGTTTCGACTTATTGAAATAAATACATAGTGTTACATTTGAAGTAACGTAAGTTTTTATGTAAAATAAATATTTATAACAGACCAGCAATTTTTGATACCCCTGTATACATTTAAGGAAGCAATCAAATTTTTTAGTAAAGTTTATTTCTCTGGCTTGGAAGTCAGCACAAGAATTAATTTTGAAAAGTAATGTACAAGATGTTGACAAACTTTTCATTACAGCATGCATATTTAAATATCTTTAAATATCTCAAAAACCAAAGCTTTTAAACATATTAAACCCTTATAATAAATGCCTTATTTTATGTCCAAGAATCGAAAAATGAAATAAAATACCGGGTGTTCCTTAAGAAAAAACATAACTTTGGTATGGATCTTAGTTCTGACACACCCTGTACATTTCAAAATAATTTTAAATTATGCACATTGCCTTCCCACATATACCGATAAAATATTTTGTTTCTACATCTTTCTGTTTTCGTATAATCCACCGAGGCGAATGGCATGCGCCACCCTGTAGATAGTATATCATCTAAGGTACCTTAATTTTTTACTTCTATTTATGCAAATAATAAATGCCTTTAGTCGTAAAGAGAGTTTTCTTTAACACCCTTACTTATTTCTTTAACACCCATTTTCTGTATTTCTTCGACTCTAAAACTACGCCAGTGACGACAAATCTTGAAAAAAAGGGTTACATTATGTCTGTGGTCAAGTTTAAAGTGTTAATAAACAAATCGTTTATATACATTTTGCTCGTGTATGTTCGGACAAACCGTTTATCAAATTAGTGCGTAATATGCACTTACATCATGAATATCCTATGTTTTTTCGGTACATTTTGCTAAAACTGCATAATATGTAATTTACTGCACGTGTAGATCATGTGTTTTTGCGTATTTTACATAGTGGCCGTAGTTAAAAAAAAAACATTAAAACTGCTTAAAAAAATATTTATCTTGTACGTATTATTATGACATGTTTTTTATACATCATTTTTTCAAAGTACGTCAACGTATGATAGATTAAAAAATATGGTTACCGTAGTAGAATAAAAAAAATATTAGCATTAACAGTACTCTTGCACTACAACAATGCCTGTAATACCTTTGGTAAATGTATTTTCCTTTGTGACACCTGGTGTATGAAAATTCTTTATTCCTACCATATTTATAACACAAATATAAGCCTAGTAGTAATAATTTTAACAGAAAAAATACTCTTTTTACGTTATTATAATGATGGATGATACTTAAAAACCAGGAATATAAATTTCCTTGTCTAATTTGTATTTATGAATATATAAACGAGGGTTTATAACAAACAAAAATTATAATTTATAATAGATATACCAAAAATTAATATTAATTACAAAATAAGACAATTAATTTTATTATTTTCAGTGTAAATTTCTCTGACGTGTCTGTCAAAGGGAAGGTTGGTCTTCTCATTCAAGGAGACTCGTTTGTTCCCAAGAACTATGACATAGACTACAGCTGGACTGAATCAGAGGTAACGGTGAGTTAGAATAGAACTTAGAAAATAGCTCGTAACAATAGACGATAAACAAGGAAACAGCAATTACATAAAGTATTTAATATACTAAAGCAAAACCATAAATTTTATATGTGTGAGTTTGAATTTGTATATCCGATTTTAGAAGAACTGAAAATTACTTTTTTTTATTTAAATTAAAAATAGTTTAGAATTGAAGAGTCCAGGGAAAAAAACTTGATAAGTGCCACTTTCAATAACATATTTTTTGTATCACAAATAGACCAGAATAATGCCAATATATTATAATAAGAAATACGAGATAAAGAAATAAGAAAAATATATTATCCAATTAGTTTTAAATGCCACAAACAGTACAGTTTGCAGTTCGTGGCATTTAAAATTCCTTTGCTAAAGAAAAATACTTGTCTAAACAGCAAAAATTTGTTTACTAAAATATAAAATACAAACATTATAGCTTAAAGAGTAACAGCGCTTTCAGATGGAGCGGAACGTCCGCGAGTTCAAGCAAGTACCATGAGCCTAAATGAACAATTTTATATGATTCGCGTACGCTTCGTCCGGATGATTTCGTCCGAAGGCTATCTTGAAAAAACACGCGGACGCTCCGCTAGTAAAAGTGCTGTGCGGTATTTTCCTTATGGAAGAAATTTTCTGTGAAAAAATTAAAGTAAACTAGGCACTCCCAAGAATGTAACAGTGCTTGTTTTTCTTTTTGCCATATTATGAAGTCATAGCAAAAATTAAACGTGCAAGAGAAAAATATATTGAGGAACCTAGTGACTATGAACTTATTAAACGTTTTGATATGCTTGAAGTAGCGGGTTTGAAAAAACGAATAACTCCCGTTGAAGAAAATTTGGGAAAACTTTATTTTGTCCACGATGAAGAACTATATTAAAAAAACCTTGTATCAATAAGTAATCTTATGTTTATGAATGTTTTTTTAATTGTTTTGAACTATGTTTCCCTTTAATATTTAGAAGGTCATGTTAATTTTTAATAAATATTGCTTGAATATTGAGGTGATGACCAAACCAATATTCTTAAAAGTTTTATTTGTTCTAACTACCACCAACATTCTTCCTCACCACACTCACCCTATACCATGCTGGCAACTGTTACTTTTGGGTCGGTATTTACATGTGTGGAAGTAAATCGCATAGGGATCTTATTAAGTCGGAGTGAGAGGAATGCGACAGTGTGCTATTGCGTTGTTGCCGGTACGCCTATCCCTATCAAGTAAAGTAAAATCATGATCGCAAACCGCTTATTTTTAAGATTTTTTTTTCTAAAAGGTAACTAGATAAAATCACTAGATATGTTTCTGAGTATCTGAAATGGAATTATAAGGATATCGTTAGGGTATCCATTTTTTTATAACGAGGAAACGTCAGTAATCGCTATAATTTAAAAACTCAACTTTTTTACACAAAACACGCCTTAACTTAAGAACCACTTTAGATATTGAAGCTTTTTTTTATTTTGAAGATCGAATCATTTACATAAGAAAAGATGTTTACATAAGAAAAATTCGATAAGGTTGTTTTTTTTTCATTCTAAATTTAAACAGCCCATCCATTTTATTTTAGTGCATAGCAGTTTTCAGCAATCGTGTAAATTTTTTTTTTATAAAGATTTTTACATACTGTCTGCGAAAAAAGTTTTTGAAAAACTACAATCAATTATTTCTAATAGATTTCGATTTTTGAATTCAGAGTTCTAATAGCGCGACCACTGTCGAACACCAACTCAATTCCACTTATTTTTACCAAAAATGCCAAAGTTTCTAACTTACACTTAAAATTTTTTAAGCTATAGGGAAAATTACAACGACTCGTTAATAAATAAACAAATAAAGTATCACGAGACGTAATTAAATCGTGAAGCTGAACGCATGATGTACACTTCTCCCTTTGGTCAACCGGTCGACTGCGACAAGTTTGCTGTAGCCCCTTCCACGTCTCTTAGCAATGTGCACAGTTTCTCGGTTTATTTTATACGTTTGGCAACATGCTTACTGTTCCCTCTTTGTTCAGTACATTATAAATGTATTGTACTCTTCTTACATACGGAAATCTCGACACAAGACTAACCTTTGCCAGCCCTTAGCATAATAGAATAACGTTTACTGGAAACCTTTGGTAAATGTTACTTTCACTATAGTAAATGTTAGAAATTACTAGGAAAAGTCGACAAATCTCTTTAAAATACCACATTCACTGGTCCAATCCTCAATTGCTAGCATTTCCTAGTGAATGTTAACAATCACTGAATTTCCGACTTTCACTGTAACATATATAAGAGAATAAATAAATATGTACAGGGTGGGTCAAATTCGACGCTTTTAAATGGAAACACCCTTTTCTATAGGAGATAGACGAAAACTAATATCGGTGTCTGGAGCTTAATTTTCATCAAAAACATGATGGTGAAAACCGCACATCAATATCTGTTACCGTTTCGGAGTTACGGGGTGTTTTTCAAAAATATGCATTTTTAACAAATCGCTGTAACTTTTTTGCTATGGAAATTTTTTTGTTTCTATGAAAACATTTCCAAAGCACCTTTTTACGTAGAATTTAATGGTTTAAGTATCATTTTTTTAAAATTAATAATTTAAGAGTTATCAACAGAAAAATTGATTTTTTATTTGGGACACCCTCTATATTCTTAATTAAATGAAAAGAATTTAAAATTACCTTTCCACAAATATAGCACACTTGATATTTTGTCATAATCCCCTTCGAAATACAGAATTTTTAAAAGCGCCACTTTCAACTAGTAGGCTTTGGACACCTTATTGATAAGGTGTTGATAATAAGCCCTTAATGGAACTCGAAAACATATTTTTCCAGCAAGACGACGCACCGCCCCTGAACGCTGAAGTTATCAGCAAATTTTTGCAGCCAATTTCAAGAATAATTGGATAGCTAACCAAGATCCCAGCCGTTGGCCGCCGAGGCCGCCTGACTTAGTGCCCATGGATCTAATTCTATGGATATATTTGCGAAAGAATAAAGGTTCTTTATTCTTCCGTATAATCTAGACAGGAATTAAAAATACTTAGCAGTTTTGGGAGGGTATCTTTCACCCCCACTGAGTTAATGAATTACGCGAGAAAGGTATGTCGAACACCTGTAGCAAAATCTCATGCCTTGGTTTGCTATTTATTTTTATTGTTATTAGATAAAATTTAAATGTGTTGATGTTGGTTAAATATATTTTAAATTGTTATAAAATTCTGCATCTCGCATAGAAAATATTATTTTCGTTTTAATTGATGCTCACAGCTAGAATTTTTTTGCATTCCAGCCGATGCCGTTCAAAGCCTACTTATTTAAAGCCGGCGAATTTTTATTTATATACTCTATATCTCGAAGAGGAATCGAGCAAAATATCAAGTGTGTTATATTTTTGGAAAGGTAATTTTAAATTATTTTCAATAAATATCAAATATACAGGGTGTCCCATATAAAAAATCAAATTTTCTGTTGATAATTCTTAAATTATTAATTTTAAAAAAATTATACTTAAATCATTAAATTCTACGTAAAAAGGTGCTTTGGAAAAGTTTTCATAAAAATACAAAATTTTCAACAGCAAAAAAGTTACAGCGATTTGTTAAAAATGCATATTTTTGAAAAACACCCCATAACTCCGAAACGGTAACAGATATCGATATGCGGTTTTCACCGTCATGTTTTTGACAAAAATTGGGCTCCAGACACCGATATTAGTTTTTGTCTATCTCCTATAGAAAAGGGTGTTTCCCTTTAAAAGCGTCCAATTTGACCCACCCTGTACAGTATATGTACTCCTATATTTTACTATAGAGTTTTATTTAAGACATAAACCGTTTATAATCTTTTAACACCGCGGTATAACGCCTCTGTTCGGTGTGAACGTTAAATTTAATGCGCCAGGATGTTTTCCAAAACGACATACATATTGCGGCAGAGTAGTAAAATTTTGTCCCGATTTGTGGGAGTCCCTCGACATATTCTGGCAAGGTGGCTATTAAATCTTCATTGTCTTCTCTCGACGGAGTTATAATCGTAAACGTCTTTTTCAGGTTAAATATTTTGTGGGCAAAGACACTCAAGTAGAGAGTAAAATCACGGGACCAGTAGGTGGTAAGTAATAGGATATTTTTAGAGAAAGTGATAAATGTGAGTGTTCTTACCTAAATACAATTTTAATTTTATGTCAACCTAATTTTTTATTGTATACAACATGGTGATTCACGGCCATGGTGCGTTAAGCTTAATTTCCATGCATCCGTTGTCCGACGATACGATGAGACGATATTAACTTTATTGATTGAATTGAATGGCTTCAATTGGTTAACCGTTTCTAACCAATCAAAGTCTTTAAATTCAACCAATAAAATTAATATCGTATCATCGCATCGTATCGTCGAATAACGGAAGCATGGAAATCGACGTTTGGACGATGGAGAAACGGTCATAGGATTTTTTAAAAAATTGAATTTTTGCATAAAGGCATCTGCTTCATCTGTCTAAATTATTTTTAGCATTATAGTGTTACCACTTTATACTAGAAGTGATAGCATCTTCGTTACTTTAAATGGAACACCCGATTGTATTATTACATTTTTTTAAACTACTTTCATATCTCATAACTTTTCTATTATACTAACCTATACAGAGAAGACCAGGCTACTAGTAACATAGCAAGTTGCCGGACGAATTTACGTTTACCCGTTTTGCGTTCGTACTCGAGACTGCTCGAGATTCACTGCCGGCTAGTCGGCTGGTCAGGCGGTACGCAGTAGCAGTTGTGCTTGGATGGGTCGGTCGTGACAGACTAGGAATACGACGCGAAGAGTGCCGAGTATTTATTGTTTTCATTTCAAAGTGTTTACCTACACTTAAGGTATCATTTAAAATGAAAATACTTAAATATTTAATATTTGAGAGTGTTTACAAGCCAAAACTAAAAGTAAATAAATTCTCTAAACCCAAAAAAACAAAATATTACTCTAAATAAAAAAAAAGTTATAACAAGTGTTCAAAAAGACCATCTTCTTGTGCTAGACAGAAGCCTAGGCGGTCGTAAAATTCCCGTCTGACATTGGCTAACATATTAGGGCTAATAGTTTGGAAAGCCTCTCGTATTTTTACTTGAAGCTCATCCAGATTATTAGCCCTATTATGACCATACACTTTGAATTTTATATAACCCCACAAAAATAAGTCATTGGGAGAAAGATCTGGTGATCTAGCGGGCCACAAAATAGTTCCATATCCACACAAACGGTTGGGAAACGTATTGTTCAAATATTCTTGAACAATACGGGCATTGTGGGCAGGAGAACTACCTCAGCAATTTGATTACTTGAAAACCTTTTTGATCCGCGGTAGCACAAATGAACACTTGCTTTAACTCCTGTTCTTCATTAATCAACACATCAGGCTTTTTGTGTTTTTGTGGGAACACGCACCCATGTGTTTCAAAATTATTAATAACTCTTGATACAGTAGGTAAAGATGGAATTGGCCTGTTTACAAAAGTTTGTGGAAAAATTGCTTGTATATCCCGATAAGACCTATTTTGGAAATACCATTTTACAATTTGAATTTTCTCGCGAACTTCGTAAACATCCATTATTTTACTTAAAAAATAAATTTTACACGAGAACTGTCGCGAGAATCTATGTATTCGTTTTGGCTATTAGAACACGAATAAATACAAATTCTGAAACATTCTTATCACATATATCTACCTATTTTTATTTTATCGCATTTTTTCGCCTGCTTTTTATCCGGCGGACGGCTATACGCTAATTCGTCCGGTTCTGCCTATGTTACTACTACGGTGGTCCGGTCTGTATATATCTCTAATAGTTTTCGAGATAAAAAATAAAACAAAAACATGATCTTGAATAAGCATGGGTTAAAACATAAATTCGGCATATTGAAATCTGAAATTTGGTTTATAGATTAATGAAAGCCGACATATTCGATCTGTCTAAATCAATCGATTGGATATCAACCAGGGAGAAAATATTTATTTCCATTTGTTATAAAATCGCTCAAATCAAATGTATATCATTCAAAAAATCGAAAGATAAATAAAATTGTTTTTTTTAACGATATATCACGTTTCTATACCTAAACCTTCTGGTTTCTCAATAAAGACATTTAAAAGATAATAATTCTATTATACAATCAGATGCAAAAAAACGCAAAGTAGAAATTTGGGTCAAAAATTTAGTGTTATATTTTTGTTATTTTTAGCCCTATTTTCATAATTTCAGGGTGAGTCTTAAATAAGTTCTTAAATTTTCAGGGCTTTACCATTTTTCCAAGTCCAAAATAAGCGAGTTATTTAAGTTTGAAAATTACAAAAAAATGATTTTTTTGAAAAAAATTTTAGAGCCACCGGATTTTTTCTGTATTTGCATCCATTTTAGTGTCGTAACCATGGAGTAAAGCCGTAACTATGGCAATATCAGAGATTAAGAAATTATACCGTGGGAAAATTTGTGGTAAACAGGCAGTTCTAAAAAGTTTTCGAAAAATATACAGCAAAATTTAAAAGAAAATGCACGATTTTTAACATCTTTTTTTTTGCGAAAAAAAACCTCATAGACGTGTTCCTAGGGTCGAAATATACCACCCCTGAAAATATTTGACTTAATTAAGACTCGCCCTGTATAGTCTGCTAAAACAAATCATGAAAATAGGGCTAAAAATAACAAAAATATAACAGTTTAAATTTGAACAAAAATTTCTCCGTTGCGTTTATTTTGCATCTGTGTGTATACAGGGTGTCATTGAAATGGTATAAAAAAAATCAGGGGGTGATAGTACTCCTAAAAATAGTAAAAAAAGTTCCTATAAGTATAGGGCGGAAAATGCATATTAAGGGAGTTAGGGGCACTAAAAGGGGAATTTAAAAAACGCTTGTTTTGAAATTGCATGCTGAAAAAACGAGATAAAATTTCGAAAAAAAATCCTCTGCCATAAATTTTGACCCTAAATCAAATGGTGATACTAAAAAATTATTTGGAAAAGCGGAAAGGGTAGTTTTTGCAAGGGTAGGGGGTTGTTTCGTGAATAACTTTTTTGAAGTTACTTTTTTTGCAAGTTTTTTGAAAACTACATACTTTTTCCTACAAAAAAGGTACTCTTGTTGCACATCGCCCAGGGCGATGGTTTTCGAGAAAATAGAAGACAAAGAGTTTGCTCTGATGGGTTGCTAACTGGTTAATCAACATAAACTTATGAAAGTTATGGCGCACAGTGCTTCGAACATATGGCTCTAGAGGACAAAAATGCAAAACTTCTCTTATATTGTAGGCAATTTATTCAAACTAGGTTTATTTGACACAAATGATGAGTACTCTCATTGTGCTAAACGGCGATGTTCTTAGTCCCACGTTTATGAAAAAAAAAATTATAAATAATAAAAATGTTGGAGCTGTGTTCCATCTAAGGAAATAATAATTTATAGTATGAAAACGGTGTAAGTATTAAATAAATCCCTGTGATAGAAAATAATTGAAATAACATTAGAACATGATTCCTACAATATAAGCCTAATATAAGATAAACATATTTTTCTTTAATGAAAAAGAAACATTAATGTTATATTTAATTAAAAAAAACTTAACATACTATAAATTTACTTTAGGACAACAAAATGCATAGATCGTAACTACTCTGATTCAGAAGAATCACTGCTGACAGAATCTTCCAAATTTATAGTATCCAAATCACAGGTAGATGAAGTATCCTCACATAATAAGATATTTCTATACATAATTATCTAATATGTTACTTTTTCGCGTTGTTACTGTTCTTTTTGTTGGTATGAGGGATTCGGATGTTAATAGTTACCTCTTTAATAGACCATATCCATATATAATTTTTTCCTTTTCTTGGGTATGAGGATTTATAATAAATTGAAAGATGGAAACTTTTATATGCGACGTTTCGCTCCAACATAGTGGGTTTTTTCAGGCACAAGTGGTGTCTCATTTGACTGGAAGGTTCATCAATATCTCATAAAGAACACATTTTTTGAAATACAAATAATTTTGAATTCTTGTCCTTATGATCAAGCCATGTATTAACCAGATCGGTATTGCTTATCAATTTTACTCCATCTGAAAAGTATTATAAAATAAAGTCCGTCGCAAGCAGACGCAGGTGAACTATACAAAAATTAAAAGTGTATGAATATGACAACAAAAATATTCAATAAATACGATATGTTTTGATATGTTTTTTTAAATGCCTTTTTGAAGTTTGAAAACGTAAAATTTTTGTACGCATTTAAGAAACATCTTAAAAAATAATTAAAAACTAAACAATCACGAACTTGTTTAGAAATAAATTTAAAGTACATACCTTGTTTAACAATATCCATAGTGGCTTTTAATTAAGTACGTAGCGTTTAACTCCATAATATACAGAACTACTATGAATGTTATTCTTTTCACTGATAAGATAATGATCGCAAAATTTATTTTTAGTGAAAATATTTGCTAACAAAAAACGCTGTTTATGAAAAATAATATACAGGATGGTTGAACATTGCTATAAGTATAAAATTACATATTCAGATATTAGTAAGTTTTAACTTTTTTTTTCGATTTTTGTCCATGGGATGAAGCACTGTGTGGCGGTTCAAAAGTAACCAAGTAGTTATCAAATAATAAATTGAAAAATCAAAATTTCATGATTTTTAAAACATCTTATTGCTTTAAAAAACGAAATAATCCACTAGATTTCTACTTCTGGGGCCACTTGAAAGGTTTGGTTTACTCAGTGCCGATTAATACTGAAGAGCAACTACGGCAACGCATTATTGACTGTTCCAGAGTCAAATTTGGACAACACCAAGGATATTCGACAGGGTACACAGATCTTGGAGCAGATGTCCGCATTGAAATGAATGGTGGTCACACTTTAAACATTTACTATGAATGAATTAAGGAATGCATTATTTTAATAAGGAATTTTGGTAATTGGTTTATTTCGTTTTTAAAGCAATAAGATGTTTTAAAAATCGTGAAATTTTTATTTTTCAATTAATTATTTGATAACTACTTGGTTACTTTTGAACCGCCATAACTTTCATAAGTTTATGTTGATTAACCAGTTAGCAACCCATCGGAGCAAACTTTTTGCCTTAAATTTTCTCGAAAACCATCGCTCTGGGCGATATGCAACAAGAGTACCTTTTTTGTAGGAAAAAGTATTTAGTTTTGCTATTTGCTACCCTTGCAAAAACTACCCTTTCCGCTTTTCCAAATAATTTTTCAGAATCACCATTTGATTTAGGGTCACAATTTATGACAGAGGATTTTTTTTTCGAAATTTTATCTCGTTTTTTAAGCCTGCAATTTCAAAACAACCGTTTTTTAAATTCACCCTTTCAGTGCCCCTAACTCCCTTAATATGAATCTTCCGCCCTATACTTATAGGAATTTTTTTTACTATTTTTAGGAGTACTATCACCCCCCAATTTTTTTTACACCATTTCAATGACACCCTGTATATACTTGTTTTGTTTAAAAAAATCGTTACCATAACAAATATTCAAACTTTATAACTAGTCAGTTAGACTTTACTTACTAAATTCTAAAAAATCTATTATTATCTGTTCATTCTGATAACTTTGTTTGTTCTGTTTCAGAACTTGTATTGGCGGATAAAATATGGCTGCAACTGAAAGAGGTTTTAACATCGATACTGCATGATCAACTGGTGGGAGTCGTAGTCGAATACTCTGTGACCGAATCGTTGGCCGATGAAGATAAAACTTTACGGTAGGGTAAAAGCAGTTTTATGTTTTGGTTTCTATGCCGGGAAATGTTCGCAGCGAATTATAAAACTATTTAAGTATATAGAGAGCTTTAAAACATTGTTAAAAATAAGAGCTCTTTAGAAAATTTCAAGTTATTAGTTTTCAGTTAACGAAGAGGAAAGAGGAAAGAGCCTTAGCTTTTAGTGAGACATAAACTAAACACTACTTATTTAATTTTGTTTATTTTTATAATGTGTAAATCATGTCCAAAAAAATTGTGACTACGATTTTTTTTTCAATATCTTTTATTAACATATAGATTGATGTTAACTATTCTAATTTTGTGCGTCTGGTTGCCAATAAATTTAAAAAGAAATTCGCATTTTTATCGGCAACTTTAAAGCAGACCCAAAATTAAATATTATGTTAAATTTTAACGATATTTAAATAAAAAAGTATATTAAGGTATTACAAATTATACTACTCAAAACAATTATTGCTTATTTGAAAAGAAATAATTATTACAAATTTTTAAATAAACTGAATGAAGTTGGCTTATGCTTATAATGTGCGTATCATGCCCAAAAAAATTATGAGTATTTTTTATATTATTGGAGATCTTTTATTAATACCTAGGTTTAGATAGTTCATAAATAAATTTAGTTATTAATGTTTACGATATTCTAAAATTAGTAAAATATTTATTTTACAACATTTATATTCTTTTTGTAATTTATGTTTTATGCTTACATTGACAAGTGCTTTTCTATATTTTTTTATTACGTATTGTTTTTAAATTCGTACGTAAACCTATTAATGTAACAAAAAAGAATGTTTTAACTTTAAAGGTATTGAAACGTTTGTAATATACAGGGTGGTCCGAACTGTATTCCGGAAACTTTGAAAGCATATTCTGCAGATATAAATAAGTAAAAAAGTTCTTATAAATGTATGTTCTAAAATAATTAGTTTCGGAGATACAGAGTGTAGAAGTTTCATTTTTATTTTGATTTTTTCCAAAAAATTAGTAACGTCAATATTCCGATGAAAATTGGGGTCTGGGAGTTTTTTCACATGAGAAATTTGGTTTTGATGTTTTGATTGAATATGACTCCTACTAGTAGAGGACGCCACCTACATATTTTTTAACTGGTTTGAAGAGTAATAACTTTTCGTCCGTACCTGTATAAAACTACTGATTAAAAAAATATACATTTACGACGTTTTTACGAGAAAAAGGTCTCTTGGTAAAAATCGCTACGAGTAATGATTTTCGAGCTATTTGGAATCGAAATTATCAATACCTGTTATCATTGACATAAATTAAACATGCTGACTAAATAGTTATTAGACTGAAATCATAAATTTGAAATGTTTTTGTGCCAAAAGTTCAACAGAACCTGTTTTATCATCATTTTTTGCAGAAAAATTTACGATTGATTTAAAAAAATAAAAATTTCCCAAATTTATTATTTTAGTGAAATAACTATCCACTCAACGTATTTATTTTTTTCAATAATGAGTATATCAAAATCAAAATTCTCATGTCAAGAAACTTCAAGACACCATTTTTTATTCAAATATTAACGTTACTTCAGAAATTATTTAGAAAAAATCGAAATAAAAATGAAACTTCTACATCCTGTATCACTGAAAGTAAACATTTTAGGTCATATATTTATACGAACTTTTTTACTTATTTTTATCTGCAGAATATGCTGCCGAAGTTTCCGGAATACAGTTCGGACAAAATATCTACTTGAGCCATAGACAAACAAATAAAAAGAGACTGACATATCTCATGGTAAAGAGTGGGACCGCGTTCCCGTAGCGCAACTCAGAATAACAATTTTGAAACGAATTAGCAGAACCATGGCAGGACATACGTCTTTATTGCTATCTTTCTTTATTATGTGTGCTTCATATGAAAAAGAAAAAGATAGGTATAAAACGTATCGCAAGACATTATCGCACATTCTGGCTGGCGGAAAATTTAAATTAGCCATTATTAGTAGTATTCTTTCATTCTGAAACTGAAAATTTTTACTTAAACTGATTTATTCCCTATACCACGTTAAGGGAACGTGGTGTCCCAAGTAGCAACTATCTGACTTCGAACTAAATCTCACCTGAAGCGACGTCAGACTTTGTGCAAATTTAGGTCGGGTGCTGGTGATACGACTGGTGACGTCGCTTTCCTATTAAAAGTGACGTCGTTGGATCCGAGTCGGTAAATCCAACGATCTGTCGACGTACAAAATAACAACGTACCATTTTTATTAATTTCCCAACGTCGTTCCAACGTTGGCTTGCACGACGTACCTATACGTGAACTAGCCCGACGTCTACCCGTTGTCCGAATAGGATACGTCTCACTGATAATCCCTAAAGTAACGTCCAATTATATTTTGTTGTATTTTATGTTCATATTTTTAACCTAATTTACGTATCTCTATTTACGTCCGTAAATACAACCCATTAAGTAGCATTTGCGGCCTAATAAACATCATGAACATAACCTAATAAAAAGTTTTTGTAAACAAACTTAATTTTTTTTATTATGCCTAAAAAAACACTAAAAAGGCATTTAGACATTCATCTACATTTTACAGAAAGAGGTCAACGCTTTTGCAAAATAATAATAGTAGTAGTGATGTCTTCCCTCCGCCCACGAATGCTTTTTATCCGGAAGAGATGCTGCATTACACTGGTGCATCTTAATTTCATTTTTTAGCTTAGGAAACCAGCAGACCCCATCCTCCCCCCACATGTGAGGTACTGGTTCCAATTCTTTTAAATTTTATATATACTATCTTAAAAAAGTGGCTGCCCATTGTTTTAAAGAGAAAACAAAAACTAAAATATATAGTTGCACAAATCCACAAATCACTGATACGCAAAGTCAGGTTACGTGGCGTACGTTGGAATTATATACGTCATAATACGATTGCCGGTCGTCCGGTTTGATGACTTCGGTCGTGTGACACGACTAATGTTGGAGACCCGGTCGGAATTGGTATATTGGTAGTTCATATTAAGTCGGACACAGAAATCCGCCATTCTTAACACGTATCCGATTGTCAGCCATTTTAAAATCGTTTTTGTTTTTAAAATTTATATTCACATTCCGATTTCTAGTAGAATAATATTGATAAGGTTGAGTTTGGTGGGAACCACAGTACAGTTTTATGATTACACCAGCTAGAAAATAAAAAAAAATATTTTGCGAGTTACTTTTTTATAGATATTTTTATTTCATAAATCTACCTACTTTTGAAGGCGCTCGTTGTTTTCCGGAGTATTTTAATCAGATATATCAAAAAAGTGACTTCCGTTGACAAAACTGATATCTGGATTAATGATTCAGAATTATTATAATATGAAATTAGATAGGCACTTATAGTTCTATTCGAGGAGTGATTATGAATCCATTTGTAATTAGGTAGTTTGGTTAGGGTTTTATGTATTCTTGGTAGCGAATATGAAACCAAACGTAACGTAAGTGCTTAGCAACGAATTTTAAGTGACTAAAATCCAACGTAATATGACGTTGGTAATTGGTAGAATTACATTCCCTATTAGGTCAGACACCGACGTCGAGGCGACCCGAATCTGTATTTCCCATTTAGGTGCAAATAAGGGTCGTCAGGCGGTCGAACCTACGTTGGTACCCGACGTCGGGTTTATTGAACGCGACGTATACCCGACGTTAGATTACGTCCAAATGCTACTTGGGGTAGGGAATAAATCAGTGTAAGTGAAAATTTACAGTTTCTTTCAGAACGAAAGAATACTACTATTATAAGGGAAATTATAAAAAAAGCAAAAATTGTACTGTTTTATAAACATATTTATTTATACATAAAAATAAATAAACTTTTTATAATATAATAACAAAAAATAACAGTGTTTATTCCACCCACCTACCAATTTTAAATGCACAGAAGAACTGACTCTTGCAGGAAACGATAGGCCAATTTTTTTTAAAGGGCATTAAAAATCTCATTTTCGAAAAAACTGCCTAATTGAAAGAAGACTTTACGAGAATCATGATCCTGAACCATTTTCAAGTCCAGTTTGAATCCTAAAACAAAAGTAAAATAGGTATATTAATAAAGTTTCTGGTTACTATAAACCAGCTATAAACTACCTACCCAAAAAATGAAAAAAATTAATTGTATTAATTTGTTATGTTAAGAGAGCTTCGAAATATTTTTTACACTACTACTTCTACTTTTTTCTTAATAAGATGATAAATATAACTACTTACTTTTATTTTACCGGGTGTCTTTAACATATCTATCAGAGAAAGGGGGCACTAATACATATAAAAAATAGATGATACTGGCTCCTGCAGCAAATATATATATAACAAAGGATATGGAACAAAGGAATTTGCTCCCTATCCATATTCATAAGTCAATAAAATGGAGAGTTTAGAGAAAAGGTAAATCACCAAAAGAAAAATTAACAAACATGACGAATTGTCATGATGTTGTCATCTTGGTTGTCATCTGTGGTTGTCATGATGACGAAAACGAAAGGCGATTGTTCTAATTTCTATTTAGAAATTACGTTTTATATGGCTGATTCTTTCTCTCTTCTTATATTAGAATGAGATAGTGGTCCCAATAGACGCAATGCGCAGATCAACATAAATTGAACGAAATTTTGCGTTCTGAGTTGCGCTACGGGAACGTTGTCCCTCTCTTTGCCATTTAATTTGCCAGTCTCTTTTTATTTGTTTGTCTATGACTTGAGCCGACATTGTCTTTATGGTTACGGTTCGTTGAATTTGACACTTAATGTCAGTTTAATAGTATATATTTGTATGTTTTCATACTTATGGGCTTAGCCGTAAAATGCTACACTTTTATGCCTAGGTGTTAAAACGACTTTTTTATATCGTAATCGCAAAGCATTTCCCGATGCACAATGTCATCAATCATGTCATCAATCATGTCATCAATCATATCGACATTGACACTAAAGTTTATAAACCTGACTAAATGAAATTTTGGC